CATCATAGGGAAAGCAGATACTCAGCACTACAGCAGGTGAATGACACCTCCATGGTAACATCCCTCTACCACCACTGCAATCCCCCACCCCCGTCCTTACGTGGTCCCTTTGTGTAGGTCCATATCCCAGTTACCTCCTATAATCCAGTCCCTGTGTATCAGAACCCAGCCCCCTGGCTTCTTCATACTGTGTCAACTCTTTAAAGGACCAGTCTGTAAACAAAGCCAACTTATGCTCTATGAGGGGACACAGTTCACTCCTTCACAGGCCATGAGCCTGTACAGCTGGGCCAAGAGCAAGATCCCGACTGCCACACTGGGAATCTGGATATAGAGAGGCCCAAAGCCTTACCAGTATCCAGTGTGTCCCCAAGACCCCAGAACAGTATGAAAAGGCAGAGACTCAGGCAACTGAGGGGCAAACTTTGCACTTGTGGTGACCACGAAGGCCACTTCTGAGAACGGTTCTCTGCAGGAGGCTCCAAGGTTCTATGTACTGGGCACAAGCTCCCCACCGAACCATACGACCATGTAGAATAAGCCAGTCCCTGTGCCAGAGGAGCCCCTGGCAGATGGACTCAGGTAGGGGCCCCAGGCAAGGGGGCAGAAAGGCCCACTGGAGGCCAGGAGACATGTGCAGCTATGGCAGCCCCACATGAGCAAGGATCTTGAGGTAGACAAATCCTGGGTTCCAGAGGAGTGGCTGCCTGCCCTAGGGTTGACTCTAGCTGTGGAGATGGACAGTCACGCTGCGTGGGGCCATCTAGCTGCTTCCTTGGGGGAAGCTCTTCAGTGCTGCCATGGAGGCTCAGGCCTAAGGTTAGATGTGAAGCCAACTTAAGAACCACCCAAGAAGTGATTTTTTTCTTATGCACCACACACCTGCTCACATTTGGCAATGAGTGCTAACCAGAAAGTCTTTTTAATCCAGACAAAAATACACCTGAAGGACTGATGAAGATGACAGATTTTTGCACTAAAGACCATGTTAAGAAAACTAAAACCTGAGTTGGGGGAATGGCTCTTAGTTTAAACAACTTGCCTTGCAAATGTAAAGACTGGGGGTTCATAATCCCCAGCACCCATGCAAGTATTGGGCGGGTGTGGTGGCCCTCCTGTAATCCCAGCTTCAGAGAGCAGAGACAGGGGACCCCCAGAGCAAGCTGGCAAGCAGAACTAGCCATATTGGTGAGCTCTTGCTTGACTGAAAGACGATCAAAGATTACTTTAACCCCAGAGGCCTCCCCACCTACAGATGTGTGTCCAAACACAAACAAAACATGCACACATACGTGCACATGGAAAAAGGGGGGGAGAATTTAAAATTATTTTAGAATGTTCCAGAAAACTTAAGATTTCCCCTTACCTTCAGTACAGTGAAGTAGATGAGAGAAACTCAAATACCCAAGACAGAATGTTCATTTAGACTCTAAGGAACTTCAGATCTGTGGGTGAGACAACAGTACTGCTCACCAAGACCTACAAGCAGAACACATTCACCAAGACCTACAAGCGGAACACACTCACCAAGACCTACAAGCGGTACACACTGGTGAACCAAGCTCGCCAACTGAAGAAGTGCAGAGTGTTAGAGACATAATTATAAATCAGAATCCAAGCCACCAGTGCTGGATACGGTTTCTGCTGAGGAGAAGCCTTGCTGGGGGTCCAGGACAGGCATTGGCATGAAGTGTCCCATGGAGGAAGGCAGCTGTGACACACACTGAGGTCCTAAAGCCAGACCAGAGTTTCTCTGTCCCAGACCCCTGCTGAGAAGGGAGGCGTGCAGGGTTTTGTTTATGGGTGCTGGGAATTGGAATTCAGGGCCTCATCCTACAACACAAGCTCTCTTACCCACTGAGCGATCTTCCCAGCCCCACCCTAGACATTTTGTGGGAGGAGACGAGCCATGTTTCTATCCTCCTATCCAGAGGACAAGGGATGTTCAGTGTCCCTTCAGCGGCACCCAACAGGGAGCCCTGGGAACTTACCTCCTACCTTATGCACTGTGTTCACAAAAGCTAACCCTTCCCACAGCCTCAGTATCCCAAAGATCACAGGACAATGCTGCCCGTCGTCCTTACTGCCCGCCCAAAAAACTGCAAACAGGCGTTCCCACAGTAACCAGTGTGCTGTCAAGGGAACCTGAGCCCTCAGCACCAGATGCCCACACCTGTCTTCTTGCTGAGGGAAATGAAAGTCAGAGGCTTGAAAAGAAGCCTGCTTCCCCACACTGCCCTGTGCAAGCCTCCAACATCCACTCCCAAAGTACCAAAGCTTGGCCTCGAGCACCAGAGGTTTGCTCTTGGAAGCCAGTGTCACAACTCCGAACCTCCAACGAGATCCATGTAAGCAAGACTGCACTCCCCCAACCCCTCAAACTCCAGACAAGAATCCCTCTGCATCCCTCAGCTCCTGTGGCCTCAGCTGAGTCATGGCCATATCTTTATCATCATCATCATCTTGATCATCATTGTGTGCATGTAAGATGTATATACAGACACATGTGCTGTGATACACCCGAACTGCTTGATGGAGTCTGTCCTCTCCTCCTACCATTCTGAGGTGCTGAGGACCAAATTCAGGTCACCAGGCTTGCACAGCAAGCACTTTACCCACCTGACCCCATGGCTTCATGAGGCTCTTCCTCCCTCATTAGGCTTCCTTCATTCTCTATGCAAGGGCTCTGACGATACTAGGAGACTAACGAGAATATCCAGGCCATCTCCCCCACACAAAGCCCTCAACTCAGTCATGCTAGCAGCTCCCTTTGGGCCACACAAGATCAAGGGATTGGGATTCTATAAGTTTGAGGCCACCTGTCAACCTGCCACATGCATCTGGTGGCAAGTTCCCCAAGTCAATCTCAGAGAAGACAAAGATGGTTCCTCAACTTTGGTAGGTCCTTGAGCTCAGCTACTGTCATCCAGATGAACAGCACTCACTGAGAGAGGGTCATTGGCTTCTATGGTACCCAATGACAGACAAGACCCAGATTCAGGTCTAGCTCTGGGCATCAAGGGGACAGAATGGCCAGATTTAGCTCACATTTCACAGACAGCATGAAGACAAGAGAACAGCCCCTACTCTCCAGAGCCAAGCTCCTAAGAAGACAGGGACACATTCCCTGTCCACACTCCATCCAATCCTAGGGTCTCCAGGCTTCATCTCCCAGCAGGCCCTACATCTAATCACAGGCCTACGGACCAGCATGTCAGGCCTACAAAGGCTGGTTTTCTCAAGCATGGTCTCCTGGCAAACATGAGGAAGTGCTGAGCACTAGGCTAAGCACCAAGGAATCCCGGGGTGAGTCAGTCTCTCCCCAGAAAGACAGCCAAGAACCCAGGACTCTGACTGGAATGGTGGTGACATCCAGCCACCATTTCTCTTCACTGGTGCCATCCAGCTGCAGTCTCCCACATACAGTCCAGCCACACCCGCTTGTGCATCCAGCCCTCTCTCTGCACAAGAAGCCACCATGAGGGTCTGAAGTACCACCCAACCGTCCAGCTCTCGGGGCTCAAATTTCTCAGAACAAAGAAGTGGGTCAACCTGCCGCAGCACAGACACCACAACTGATCTGTTGATGACGGTCAAATGAAATCCTTCCAAACCATGATCGGACAGCTCTGCCTATCCACGGGGATGGCCATCATCAAACAGCACCCACTGCGAGGCATCTGCCCATGAGAAAGGAAAATGCCCACCTGCATGGCATAGCTATATAACACACGCTATGCCTCCCCAATTGCATAGAAAGAATGAAGCTCAGATACACACTACAGCATGGAGCAGACATCACACTCTGGTCAGATCTGATTCCACCTGTGTCGAGTCCCAAGTCTACACAGAAAGCATGGCGGTGGGAGACGGAGTATTAAGTGGAGTGGAACTTTCTTCTGGAAAGCCGCTAGTAATGGCCGCATCACAGAGGAGAAGCCACCAAACTAGCCAGTGAAAACTGTTACAATGGGAAGTTTGTGTTGTGTCGATTTTACCACAATCAACAAACTAACATTTTATTTCTAGAAAAAGGCAGTGGGCAGGCACCAGCCCTGGAACTGCAGTCTAAGCCCTGAATAAAACCAAAACCCTGAGCCCCCTGCCTCCTCTCCACAGGACAGAGGCACTGCCAGCCCCACCCTTCCACATCTACTTTAGGATCTCTCTCCCACTCCTGAAAAGACCGTCCCAAGCATGGAGGACCCTCTGGGCTAATGAAGCACTGGCAGGTGTTTGGGACACACGCAGGTAGAGAACATGACTTGGGATAATCCAGAATGCTTCAAGAAAACGAAATATTCAAAATCATCTCTCATGGGCATGCCCAACCTTTTGACATTGAGACACAGTGTTATTACAAAGAGGACACTTGAAAGCCACACAGTAGGGGCTGGGGAGCTGACTCAGAAGACAAAATATAAAGTTTCTGCCACCCAAGCCTGAGGACCCGAGTTTAGATTCCCAGCACCCATGTAAAGCTGTGCACATCAGCACACATCTGTAACACCAGCGAGCATGGCAGAACACATCTGTAATGCCAGTGAGCATGGGAGAACACATTTGTAACACCAGTGAGCACGGCAGCACACATCTGTAACGCCAGTGAGCAGGGCAGCACACACATCTGTAACGCCAGTGAGCAGGGCAGCACACACATCTGTAACACCAGTGAGCACGGCAGCACACATCTGTAACGCCAGTGAGCAGGGCAGCACACATCTGTAACGCCAGTGAACACAAGGGTGGAGAAAAACAACCTGTACTACAACCTTAGCAACAAGCCTCATCTCAAAACATAGGCCGGAAAACTATAGAAGAAAACCCCCAATACTGAACACATGTGCACATACAGATGTGCACCTGCACACACACACACACGCACACACACACAAATCTCAGAAACAATCTAACAATGTTTGGGGCCAGTTTATGGTTTTATTTTGGGCAACATCAGCGCTGTCCCTGTGGTGGGACAAGGAGACCAAGCTCTCACTCACCAGAGCTGTCAGCACGTCGGGTCCCACAGGAAAGCTCCTTACAGCAACCACAGTCTGCACTCTGGATGGCGGAGGTGGGCTGAGTGGAGAAGTTTCTAAACCTGTGAAGACAGAAGCCAAGGCACTGTCAGGTGGGACTGCGAGGGACACAGATTCCAGCTTTCCACAGATCTTAGTTTTTCTGAGCTTAAAAACCAAGTTGGTTTTTTTCCCCCTTTAGACAAATGGAAAACTGAGCTGGTTCTCTTCCCCAGGATAGCTGGTCCCAGATGCCAGATGCAAAGCAGAGAGGTGGACCATGTGAGTGTCCTAGGTTCTTTCACCTCATCATCCCATTCCCAATTGTTGGGTAGCTATTACCTCAGGGAGGGAAGAGGGACCCACGGTGCCCAGGACTAAGGAAATCAAAGCTGAGGAAGTTAGAAGCCCAGCAAGAGCCCAGCCAAGGCTGTACGAAGAGTGGCAGCGCTGGGGAGAGGACTCATCAGTGGAGCTGCCCGCAAGCTGTGCAGGAAGCCCCCAGGGTGCAGCTTTCCTGAGTCAGCTATGCTGTGGTGGTGGTGGGGGGGGGGGGGCTTCCCGGTGACAGTGATGGCAGCTGCCTTTAAGTCATCCATGCTCCTGCAGATGTCACTCCCACCCACGGCTCCTGTGAGTAACTCTCGTGCATCTTCCTGTAAGAACTCCTCACACACGCTCCTGTTAGTGGCCTCACTGGTCCACTGAGTTAGACACTGGTGCAGTGATTTCTTTGGTCTGTGTTTTGGTCACTGGTACTCTATCCAGAGAGAACAGGCATTGCTAATGTCGTCCAGGAAAAGTCACACGGTCATGTCAAACCTGCCAGAAACCCCAGTGGGACAGGAGAAATCCCATAATCAAAGTCCTCTGTCTTCAGTCAAAGGACATTTTAGCAACTCTGGCCAGACATCTAGAATCAAGAACCCTATCTGCCCCAGCAGCAAGTCCAAGTAAGAGCTTGGGCTTCTACTCTGTGTGGGTATACCAGGGCCCCTAACTCTGCCAAGCAGGGAGGTGGGGAGCGGGAAAACACCACTGGCATTACGGATCCTCTCCTCCCCTCCAGGGTTGGACTGACTATCTCAGGCAACCTGGGTCTCCAGTCCCCAGGCTGCTACAGTGTGGCTCTTCCCTGCGCTATGGTCTAGCATCAGAAGATAAGGAGCAGCAGAGCTACTACCACTGTCCACGGACAACAAGGTGACCCCACCAATGCTCAGTAAAATTCCCACACCTTCCATAAAGACAGAAGCTTTTCCAGGTGGGGGTCTGTAGGGGCTGTGGACTCTAGCTCTGCCTAGAGGAAGTGAGGCAGGGCTCATGCCCGCCTTCTCGATGGAGGCAGCATCAGAAAACAAGAGCTAGCTGAGGGTGGAGATGCATATCTAAAATCCCAGCACCAGAGACTGAAGACAAGGGGATTAGAAATTCAAGGCCAGCCTTGACTATATAGTGTGTTCTGAGCTAGCTACACTGAATCCTGTCTTAAAAGTGAAAAGGAAAGAGGAAGGCAGAAGAAGAGAAAGAAAAGGGAGAGAATAAACCCATGAAATTTTATATCAAGTTACAAAACTATTAAATGTGTGAAAACTAGTGCCAATAGAAAAGTCTAGAAAACAAGGTGAGGAAAACAATGCCTTAAATATAAGGCATGGACTATGAAAAGAGGACCAAACTTCTCATCAAGAACCATGGAGTCAAGCCTGGTGGTGGTGGCGCTCATCTTGAATCCCAACACTTGGGAGGCAGAGGCAGGTGGATCTCTGAGTTCAAGGCCAGCCTGATCTACAGAGCTAGTTCCAGGACAGGTAGAGCTACACAGAAAAACCCAACCTCGAAAAGCCAAAATAAATAAATAAGTAAACAGACAAATAAATGAAACCACGAAGTCAGAAGACAGCACCGGACTTAGCAAGGGAAAACAGAGGGGACTGCCAATGCTCTGTGTGGGAGAAGAGCAAAATGAGCACTCGTACGGATCTGTCACCAGCAGCTGTGTTGTCAAGGTGGCCCAAGTGGGGACCCAAGATGGTTCAACCGGGTACAGGCCCGAGGACCCGAGTTAATCTCCAGAACCCACCCGGCCTAACAGCTTTGACTGTCAACTTGACATAGCCTAGAGTCACCCGAGACGGCAGTCTCGGCTGAAGGAGTCTGACCTGGGCACATGCCTGTGGAAGACTGTCTTTACTGTTAACTGATGTAGCAGGGCCCAGCCCACTAAGCATGAGCCTGTGATTGAGCCAGAAAGTTGTGTTCTTCCATGGTCTCTGCTTCAAGTTCCTGCCTGACTCCCCTCAACTAAGGACTGAGAGAGACCTGAAAGTATGAGCCATATGCACTTTCCTCTCCAAGTTGTCTTTGGGGTAAAGTGTTTCATCACAGCAGCAGGAAGGAACAGCACATCAAGGTGCAACCAACTCCACGAAGTTGTCCTCTGACCTCCACGTGTGCTCTATGACACATGCACCACACTCACACACACATTATACACATACAGGCATATGTATACAATAGTAATAAATGCAATATCTTTTAAAGATGGCTAAAGTAATCTCTTCAAACAAAGAAATGATTAAAGAAGAAGGACTATGAAGCAGGAAGGGAAAATGCATACAATGAGCAAAATACATAAAAAATATGCAATCTTCCCCTTCCCAAATTTCCTAAATCTGTTTGACAGTTACATAAAAAAACTGTAGCATATCTGATATGACTCTAAATGTATATAGAGGAAATACTTCGCAATTATAAGTGGGAGAACAGAGGGTCACAAAAGGACATGAAGTGTATTACTCATACTAGCCTCACAGCAAGTGGTGATGACGCTGTGTGTACAGTGTCTAGAGCAAACACTTGGTTAGGAAAAGATGCACTGGAAGACACTTCTTCACGCAGATAAGCCAAAATGAGACCCTATATCACATAACCCATAGAAAAAAAAGGAAAAGAAAACAAAAAACATCAAAGAACTAACACAAACCCTTACATGCAGTAATTCCATTTAAATGTAAGTGGTCAAAATTATGCTAAGTAAAAGACAGGGCAACTTGTTAAAAGACATAATTATATAATGTTTACAAAAATTCACTTCCAATATAATGCCATAGGCAGGCAGAAAATAGAATGATGGAAGACACATTTTGCAACATAAATCCAAGACAATCAAGATGACTATGACAATAGTAGATAGAGCATACTTGATGGGAACTTCCTCAACTTAATAGACACTATCTACAAGGAAACCCTTCAGCCACCAGTCATTAAGAAGCCAAGGAACTAAGTGCTTTCCAGGAAATGCCTGTACCCTTGGGGTGAGGTGAAGGCACCAGCTGTCCCTGCTGTTGCGGAGCACCAGATGCTCCCAGGAGTGCAACAAGGTAGCAAAGGTAAAACCAATCTAGAAGCAAATGGTCCCTGCTTCTCAGTTACAGAAAGCCACAGGGAATCTAGAAACTCAAAAATCTTCTAGAAATCACACAGAAGTCATGGAGGTCATGAGATACAAGATGAGCATTCAGGGCCAGCAAGATGGCTCAGCAGGGAAAGAAGCTTGCTGCCAAATCTCAGGACCTGAGTCCAACCCCTGGGTCCTGAATGGTGGCTAGAGAGAACTGATTCACCCAGGCTGACCTCTGACTTCCACATGCACACCATAGACACGGGCACAATTAATAATTCAATGCAAAAAAAAGATGAACATATAAATATCAAAACCAACTCCACAAAACACAATGTTACAGAATTCCCTCCCTTCCCCCCTCCAAATAAAAAAAAAGAAAAGAAATACTTCAGGGGACATCAAGATGGCTCAGCAGGTAAAGGTGCTTGCTGGCAAGCCTCTGGACCTGAGTTCAACCCTTGGGTCCTGTGTGGTGGAAGAAAACTAATTCCTCCGGATTGATCTCTGCCCTCCATGTGCACACCTATGCCACCCCACATAAATACAAAATAAATCAATAAGTGTAAAAAATGAAGTTCTTAGGTATAAATAAAGCATTTTAGGAGGTGTATTCAGACTCTACACAGTGATTAAATAAATTACATGTTTATTTTTTAAAGATTTATTTATTTTTATTTTATGTGCACAAGTGTTCTGCCTACATGTATGTATGTGTACCATGTGTATGCAATACCTTCAGAAGTCAGAAGAGAGCACTAGATCCCTTGGAACTGAATATAAAAACAGCTGTGATATACCAAGTGGGTGCTGGGAATAGAACCTGAGTTCTCTGCAAGAGCAGTCAGTGCTCTTAACTGGTGAGCCATCTCTCCAACTTGTCTAATTCAATGGGAGCCCTGGGCTGGATTGTCAACTTACATAAGTACACACATGTACACACACATACAACTGCAAAACAAAAAAAAAAAGAAGAAGAAAGTTAGAAGAATCCATCTACCCAATTTCAAGCTTTATTGTATAGCCACAGTAATCAAGTCTGTCTGGTTCTGGTGGAGAGAAAGGAACACAGCTATAGACCTAAGTGGAGAGCCCAGGGAATAAAGCCACATGTGTACATACAAACATGTGTGAGTGAGTACACACATGCATGCAGACACACACACACACACACACACACACACACAGCTGGTTCCTAGCAAGGGCACAGACCGTTCAGTGAGGCCGGGTCGTTTACAGCAAACAATAGTAGAAGGGTTGCACATGCGGAGGAAAAATCAGAGTGCCAAACAAGCTTGCCTTGAACAGAGTTTCATGAAACTGTATAATGGCTTCTATGAGGAATGTGAGACTTGACGCTTTCAGAAGAACTAGAATGAAATCTTCCGGATGCAGGTGAGGCGGCACCTGCTTAGATCCTGCAGACAGTGTACTCCAGGAATGCATCAGCCAAGGCAGGACCACAGGGAGACCAAAGGCTCCCCTCCTGACACAAACCACAGAGTGAACATTTGCAAGCCACACGCTTGAGTATGCACAGCACTCAACACTTGGCAATGAAACCCCAAACCATGACAATCCAGGGCAGATGTGGCAGAACATGTGGGGCAGTGTTTTACAAAGAAAGAAACATAGAGCCGTAAGTTCCCCGGAAGCTGCTCATCCCCAGCCAAGGATGGT